CCAATGTCTGTGTGCAGAAACAGAGATCAGGATGTTTTCATACTGCTGAACAGAAAAAAAGCCATATAATTTTGTATGCGCAGACAGGAAGGAGCACTCTGGAGAAGTTAGCGTTCAACCCTCCCCCACTAGCCGACTCCTGGAATCCCCCATTAGCAAGTGAACATTCCTGAATATTTCACACTCCTTCAATATATTGTGTCAACATCACACTTTTCGTCTCACTCTCAGAACGAAGCTCCTCAGGTACAAATGAGGCGAGAACACTTTTAAGAAGCGCTCAGCACGGAGAATGAGTGCCTTTGTGATGCTGATGTCAGCGCTAATGCGCTAAAGAATACAGAGCAACTGTGACAGTTAGCGCTGAGGCGTTAGCTGCGTTATGGTGAAATGATTATTGCCTCTACTTTTTGATGAGCAACCTTTTGCTGCTGTTCCCACTTTTTGTGGCTTTATTTGAAAAGAAAGACTTAAATTAAAGTGTGAACATGTCCAAACTTCAGCAGAGGAAAATAAGGGACAGTCGCAGTTTCATTTCCTTTACGAAAATTAACCATGGTTTTGTGACAAATAAAACCCAGAAACAATGGTTAATATAGTTAAACCATGGTAACCACAAATTAACCATGGTTTTGCTACACTAGTAAAACTGTGGTTTTACGAATGGTAATCAATCCGCCGAAAAACATGGTTACTACACTTTTACTATAATAAAACCATGCTCATTTTTGTAAGGGTTAGCAAAATAAAAGAAACTCCAAATTTCATAATTTGCGATTAAGTTCTAAAATTCATTCAATTTGATACTATCATTTTGTTTTTGAGCTACTAACATATGATGTTATACTATACATCTACTTAGCCTAGTATAGCTTAGCCTGTAACTTAGCAAGGGCTAATAAACATGAAAAGTGTCTGTATTTCACATTCAAATTTGTTTTCTACTGTAATCTGTCAATTTTTACTTTGTTAGTTGTATGCTAAATTGATTCAAATGCAGTAGCCTAGCTAAAATATGGGACAAACTCCATCCTACATGGATTTTATGCAGAATACAGCTCTTTTTTCCTTAAATATCAGATGATCGTATGCGTCCTTAAATATGAGACACATTATTGCTGTGTTTCGCAGTTGCGGCATAGCATGGCTAAGAAGTCTCAGAGAGCCGGACTGTCATGGCTGATGGTGTGCTATGAAATATGGCCTCAGTCTGAATCTATGTGCCGTACCAATTAAAATGGCCATTTGGTGAGCAAGTGACAAGTGTGTTTGATGTTAGCAGAAACTGAGAGGCTTCTGTTAGCAAGAGCAGGGGCTTTTCTCCCATGAGGTCTGATTTGAGGTCTGATTGAGATTGGGACGCAGAATGAGAGAGAGGGATGGAGGGCGATAGACGGAGAGAAAGATAGCATTAGCAGAGAGAGGGGACAGCAAAGTGATGACACGTCACTCTTCCTCAGGGCTCTGTCTCGCTGTCAGCTCTGACTCAGTGACCTTGAAGTGGGCTCCAGGAAGTCACAACAGAGAGGACTGAACTAACAAGCTGCATCAGATTTGCTCTTTTCCTCCACGCATTTCAACGTAGGCGCTATGGGAGTCATTTAGTGCATGGTTTGATCTTTAACATTACCGTGGCCCTGCGCCCTTTTACTGTGCACTTTCGTTTGCGTAACTCTGTGTGTGTTTGTAGTGCCTTTGATGTAGCCCGTAGGCTGAGACCATCTTGACCAGCAGCGGTGTATGGCATGAACGCAGTCTGATATGCAGTATCTGTCCACTTCTTTTCTGATTTTATAACCTATGTGGTGTATCTATTTGAGATCAGATGTCTAGTATTATTATTATTATTAATATTTCAGTTACAGTATGCTTTAATAAGTGTTAATGTATTTATATAAGAAAAATGTGTAATAATAATACTAACTCTTATTATTAATATTGTGACTAATAACATTTTGTGCAAATAAACACATTGTGATTACTTTCTTCTTTCAGACGAATCCAATCGGAGTTATATTAAAAATTGTCTTGGCCCTTCTAAGCTCTATCATTGTAGTGGGCGGGTGTTTCTGTTTAACACTCCAAAACACGTTAAATAAAGCGCGCGCATCCATTATAAAACGTGCCTCACACGGCTCCGAGGCATGAATGAAGGCCTCCTGTAGCGAATTTTGTAAGAAAAATATCCATATTTCAAACGTAATAAACACTTTTCAAACACACTTGGGGAAAAAAAAATAGGAAGTATTTTTACATATATATGTGTGAATATGTATGTTTTACCGCAATGCGCAATGATAGTGACCAAAAAAGCTACGATTTTGTCATGGTAGCATGTCCTAAAATATATAGTAATACCATAGTATTTTCCCTAGAGGTTATTCAGTTATCTAATGTTGGCAAATACCACCCTGTAAACGTGGAACTGTTCGAGCAACTGAATATCTCACAGTGTGTGTTATTAGGCGAGAGTGTTTGTACTGGAGCTGGATGAATTACTCCCCGTCCTAATCTTGCTGTGAGGATTTTTTCCAGCAGAACAATTTTGGTTTAGCGCTCTCCGTAGACAAAGGAAGCTCCAATCCAGCACGGCAACCCGCAGCGTGAGCCAGGCAGGAGACAAAGAGCTTTGTGAGTGTTTCATATGGAGGCCTGGCGAGAGGGAGAGGGAGAGGGAGAGCGAGAATTGGCGCTAGGCGGACCCAAACCTGAGTGCCCAGCGCAGCGTTATGCCCTCTTCACTTCCCGCGTCGTCGGCTGATATGGCACGAGCTTCGTCAGCAAGTGTACCTGCTTCTCTCCGGCTAAAACGAAGGGCCCTCTGAGCAGCGCCTAGGGAGGGAGTCAGATAGGAGCGCGGCAGCTGGCCCCGCAGGCTCGAACCCGCAGCCTGCTAGTCTGTGATGCCAGCAGTGTGGAGGCGCAAACCGCTTCAGCCTTTAGAGCAGGCTGGAATTATGAGCCTGGGATAGACGGTTCTCACAGCCCTAGAGTGCCACCTACTGGCAGGGGCCTGGTAATGCAGCTTCTCTCCTGGACTTCAACCACAGTCAGCCTTAATTACAGCATGCTTCAGTTGTTGTGAGTGCATGTCAGAACAAATTATGTAAGTAATGAGGCTGAAAATGTTAAAGGAGTAGGAACACACTGGCGCGCTAATGCTCATGCCGAGAGAACACAAAAACAAACAGCAGAGTGCACTGGCCGCATTTTTTTTCTTTTTTTTTCAAAAAAGAAATAATTATAGTTTCAATTAATGATAAAATAACATGATCGGTAATGTGAATTAGCAATTCTGACAATTCCTGTGACGAAGCTCTCTTGAGGTTAAAACAATTTATATCAGCGACCGCCATGCAGCCCAGCTTGAAACGCATGCTGTTGTGCTGTTTACAGGCATGTTGACCGAACCGACGGTGTACTGGCTGTCAGCATACAGGGTTAGTGGATCATTTGAGAGATAGAACAAGAGAGAGAGACCCTTGGCTTTGCCAATGGGACGTTGACATTATCCAGATGACACAACGGGAGCTCAAAGGCAGATGATGGAATGGGCCGCTGCTGATACGTCGCTCAGTGGTGGCAAATTTGATGCTTGCAAATTAATTCCGTATGATTGGATTTATAGGGTTCGCTAAAATATTATCGAGCCACAGTATTATGGCTGGAGTGAAGCTCTTGCGTGGTAAGGTCTATTTTGCAATGGCCAGAGGTTTGGTTCAGGTCCTTTGATGTGATTATATTGCCGTGGCCTTTGCTTTGAGATGCCTGACTTTTATCAAATAGTCTTTTAAGCAACTCGTGCCAGGTTTTATCTGTCGGAATCAATATCTGCAAGTGTACTTTTATAAAGGAATAGTTCTGTCGTCTTTTATTCCATCACGTTGTTCCAAACCTATATAACTCTCATTGAACACAAAATTAGATTTTTGGAAGAATGTTCACGCTGCTCTTTTCCACACAATATAAGTAAATGGGCACTATGGGCTATCAAGCTCCTAAAATGTTCTAACTTCTCTGAAGTTATGGGGTAGATTAATCATAAGAATACATTTTCTGCTGCAGCTCTCAAATCTCATTAACATTCATGTATATTTAGATATGGTGTGTCAAATCATGTCACACTAGGGTTGACATTAATAATGCCCAATGGTAGGGGTTCTTGAGTCTCAAAACCAATCATGACTGCCTAAATTTGAATATGCAAATATATGAATCTCATTAATGATGTTTGAGAGTTTTAGTAAATAACTTATGTTAAGTTGCTTTGGATGAAAGCAGTATTTTTTTATTAGTAGTATTTATTCATGTATTTATTTATTGACCGCTCTTGGTCACCATTTACTTTCATTGTATAAAAAAGAGCAGCGTGAACATTCTGCTAAACATCTCATTTTGTGTTCCACAAAAAATAAAAGTCACATGGGTTTCCAATGACAAGAGAGTGAGTAAATACCCTTTTAAATGTAGTAAAAAAAAAGCCTCTCTTGCCGCTCTAGAGCTATAAAGCTATTGTTTTTCCTCAACAAATACTCAAGCCTTATTATTACCATCTTCTCGTTGTGTCAGTGCTAGGTCTCTTGGACTCTGCGTCTCATGGTGGTAAAACTGTCTACTTGGTTTTAGCGGTTTTTAAATTGAACAGGCAGCTTTGAACCGATATTCCAGTGGTGGAAAGGTCCAGTCATGTGGTAAAGAGTTGGGTTTGTCCCGACAATGCTGCCCAAAGGCTCTGCGGGGAACAGTGGCGCTTTATTACGATCGCATTTGTTTCTAAATCACGGGCTGACATCACGTTTTCTGTGCTTTTTGAGGGTTTTCTGTTTAAAGTCAGGATGGCCTCCTCCAAACACGCCGCAGCCGAGGGTGGCAGGGACGTGATGCGTTTGAAGCTTGGCGCCGTTTCATGTCGCAACATGCAGCCGTGGAGGAGGTGTTGCGCGGTGACTGGTGACAGTGAAAAATCCTGACAGTATCTTCTCTCTTTTCTTTCTCCGCAGCTCAAATCGAAATAATTCCCTGCAAGATCTGTGGAGACAAATCATCAGGCATCCATTATGGCGTGATAACGTGTGAGGGCTGCAAGGTAAGAAGCTAAACAACCCTGTCAGCGCGTGTGTGACAAAGAAAAAGCGGGAAAAGCCAACAAATGAGCCATTCTGGAAAATAACAGAGAAGTTTCTTTCGGATTATTGTCTTTCTAAGGAAGAAAAATGCACTATTGTGCTTACAGGACTTTGGAATTCACACGCCAGAGTTTTAATAACTCGCGTAGTCAGGTTGAAATGTTGCTAAAAACAGTCACAATTACAATACAACGACAATATAATCCCTGTGTCTTGTTTTTCTTTACCTTCTGCTGCACTTTTGTTAATAAAACCGTCAAAAAAGGAAACACTTTGGATCACAGCACGTCGTTAGCAGTTTTGCAACCACGTCCTCCCCCCGTTCGTTCCCGCCGAAGCTCCTCTTTTCGTGCATTTTTCAAACACGCCGTCCACTCAGCAAAGAGGAATTTTGTGCTTATTGTGTATTCCTGTTTGCTGCCTGTCACCGGAGCAACTCGTTAGCATTCCGCAAGCAGGCTCGGCAGAAACGAACATGCGGACGAGGCTCCTGAACGGAGTGTTTTTTGTTTTCCCGCACAATAGACAGACTCTCTGCTCAGCATCTCCCTCCGTCACTCACTCACTCGGCGGCAGAAACGCGCAACCCTGAAGAATAAACTGCTGAAATGTATCTTTAATGGTTACTAATTACTCGAGGCACAAAGACATTTAATGATATGTGCGAGCACACTGCTCCGGCCCATAAATCATAGCATTATTAAGGAGCGCTGCTTGTCACCGGCAGTCGTACCCCGCTTTCATAATGGCTGCCATTAGAAAGCAACTTGGCAGCTGTCAGCTGTTTTCTAGTAATTAAACAGCCAATGAGCAACTAATTAAGACATATGTGTATGGAGCTGTGGAGTGGGGTGTGTTAATGACGAGCTGGAATCAATTCATTAAGTCAAAGGGATGAGAAATCAACTCAACGTGGGCGCCCGCTCCTTCCCCCCACCGGGTTCGGGCTCTGTTATTCAACATTAATAACCTCGCACAAACTCGCCATTATTTACTACCTTTCTCGCCCGTCTCGGAACTAGCCGTGCCAATCGTTAATGAGGAAAAATACTCGTTCCAAACTGCTTTTTATAGTTACCTCGGTGAAATATGTGCTGTTCAGCTGTATCTCGACTAAAGATGAACACGTCTATATGATCGAGACAAGCGTTTGTAGAGTTGCCACCATCTGTTCAGAGTTTGCCACAGACATGTTGTTCTTTTGAGAACTTCATGTGAAATATGCGCTTGTAAGGTATAGAAACATGTCCATCCATTTGAGGTCAATTCACCAACTGCTGAAATGTATCTTTAATGGTTACTAATTACTCGAGGCACAAAGACATTTAATGATATGTGCGAGCACACTGCTCCGGCCCATAAATCATAGCATTATTAAGGAGCGCTGCTTGTCACCGGCAGTCGTACCCCGCTTTCATAATGGCTGCCATTAGAAAGCAACTTGGCAGCTGTCAGCTGTTTTCTAGTAATTAAACAGCCAATGAGCAACTAATTAAGACATATGTGTATGGAGCTGTGGAGTGGGGTGTGTTAATGACGAGCTGGAATCAATTCATTAAGTCAAAGGGATGAGAAATCAACTCAACGTGGGCGCCCGCTCCTTCCCCCCACCGGGTTCGGGCTCTGTTATTCAACATTAATAACCTCGCACAAACTCGCCATTATTTACTACCTTTCTCGCCCGTCTCGGAACTAGCCGTGCCAATCGTTAATGAGGAAAAATACTCGTTCCAAACTGCTTTTTATAGTTACCTCGGTGAAAGATGTGTTGTTCAGACGTATCTCGGTAAGATAAACGCGTCTATATGATTGAGACAAGCGTTTGTAGTGTTGCCGCCATCTGTTGAGAGTTTGCCACAGTTTTTTTTGGAGAACTTCATGTGAAATATGCGTTTGTAAGATAGAGACATGTCCATCCGTTTGAGGTTCATTCAGCAGGGTTACTGTAGTTAACTAAAACCAAAAATAAAACTTTGTTTTTTTAAAGTTACTTGAAATAAATGTTAACTGAAATAAATTGTATATAAAAAAGTTTAACATGATGTAGCTAAAATTACATTAAATTACGAAAAGAACTAAAATAAAGAAAACTGAAAAATAATATGTATATATAATAAATATAAAAAAAGGAATGAACAATGACAAAACCCCCCAAAATTACTACAATTTTATTAAAAATTTAAATAAAAACAGAAAATTAAAAACTCATTTAAACTATTAATAAAAACTGTAATTGTATCTCAGTGATACTAAAATAAAACTGCAGTTCAGTTAATTTTCTAACATAAATACATGGCTAGCAAAAATTAGGTTTGGTTCAAAATTGCAAGAATAATTTGTGATAGCTTAGAGGCAAAAGTTAAAATGTTTTTTATAAATATTTTAAATATTTTTTAAATATAAATACTATATAAATGCTAGAATATAACAAATATATAATTTATTATTATTATTATTATTATTAACTATATTGTTTTTTTCCACATTTAAATATACATTCCTAAAAATAAAATATATTTTTGGTGGTGGGGCTAGTAAAAAAATGTAATTAGTGGCCTTACTCAGCCAGCAAAAAAATAAAAAATCCTTATGGTTGAGTCATGAATGGGTTAACTAACCTTCTCTCTGTCCGTCTCTCGGGCCTGTAGGGTTTCTTCAGGAGGAGTCAGCAGAGCAATGCGGCGTACTCATGCCCGCGTCAGAAGAACTGCCTGATTGACCGCACCAGCCGGAACCGCTGCCAGCACTGCAGGCTGCAGAAGTGTCTGACCGTGGGCATGTCACGTGACGGTAAGTCTGTGTCCAGTACAGCAGGCACCAGAGGGAAAACAGAGTCTCCACAGATACAGAACATCAAATGCATGCAAAATACCAAATAGATCAGCATGTAAAGTGAACGTGCAACCTGACAGCGAGTGTTTTCCAGCTACGGTTTATGAAAACGTGAGTGCAATGAATGAGTAAAAGGGGGAAATATGGAAAATTGTTCAACCAAAATTGTCCAAAAGTTCAATACAAGCATCACAGGATGCATCTGTGAATGTACCTGGAATCAGTGTAATGGAATATGTTTAGTCCTTTTCTACTTTTATTCACTACTTAACTTTGTCCCCAGTCTTGCCATGTCATATAATTTAGAGTACCTGTTCTGTAGTCGGCACCCATTACTCATTAATTTTTCACCTAACTTGTGACAAGATGAATTTAAGAGGCAGTTGTGGTTCTGGACTGCGGGGCATGCTCACTCAGGGTGGAGAATCTGACAGCAAGTAGCTTTTATTAAATGAGCATCATTAAAACAGGCTCATTAAAGCCAATGCAGGTGAGCAGCATTAACGGGAGCACAGGTGAGCGTATGTTTGTGTGTGTGTGTGTGTGTGTGTGTGTAGAGGCCCCCTGCTGGGCCTCCGGCTGGGCTGTGTGACTATGGCCCGTGACAGGAGGATGAAATCAGGCCAGGTCTTCCGAGTCTACCGGGCTGCTCTCTCACACACAACCAGGACAGGCAAGGTGACTTCTGACTTCACTCTAACTGAAGCTCACCAGTCCCCATCTGCCTTCCTTACACGGGGACAGAGACGCAGAGCTACCCAGACACACACATGTCAGAGATGACGTTAGGCCTCCACTCAGACTCATTCATATGCCTCAAATTCAGAGTTGATCCTGTACCTCTTTTAAAAACCTCACTCGTCTCCTCGTGTCTTGTCTTGTCTTTGCCCTGCATGTCTTGTCTCATCTCCTTTCCACTGTTCTACTCTCTCTTTTTATTTTCTCTCTTCATGTCTCGTCTTGTCTCCTCTTTGTTCTCTTCTCCTTTGTATCTTTAACTCAGGTCTCTTTTTGTTTCCTCTCCTCTAATTTTGTCTTATCTTTTTTTTAAATATTATTTTGTCTCCTCCTGTTTAATGTAATTTCTCATTTCCAACTCTTCCCACTCATCAAATCTTATTTTGTCTCCTTTCTCATTGTCTCATTTCTTCTAATTTCTTCAGTTCTTTCTTCAAATCTTATTCTGTCTCCTCATTTATTTTCGTGTCATCTCCACTTCCTTCTTCAAATCTCACTTTGTCTCCTTGCCTCTTACTTTGTTCCTGGTTTCTCTTCTTGTCTCAACTCCTTTCCTTTTTTCAAATCTAATTTTCTCCTCTTCTCATGTTTCGTCTCCTCCTCTGTCTTCAAATCTCATCTTGTCTCTTCTTCACAAGTCAGGCCTCGTCTTATTTGATCTCCTCTTCTCATATCTCGACAGTCTTGCCATGTTGTCTCTTTTCCTTGCCACATCTTATCTCATCTCCTCTACTATCCAAAGCTCTTGTCTTGTCTCCTCATGTCTCATCTTGTCTCCTCCCAAGTCTAACATGTCCTCTAGTTTTTCTCTCATCTCCTCTTTTCAAATCGCAGCTTCAAGTCTCCTTTCGCTTCCTCTCATTTCCTCTCTTCTGATCTTCACTTGTCTCATTCCCTTTCTTTACATCTTTCATTTTTATTCTCTCCTCACATGTTGTCTCTCCTCCTTTGTTTTGTCTCGTCCTCTCTGCTCTGGTCTCCTCTCGTCTCCAACAGTCAAAGCCCCTTTATCCCCTTCATTCTCCACTAAACTCTCCAGTGAGTTTATCTCTTTTTCCATCCATCAGTAGATCAGCTTGTCGTCTGCCACGCGTCCTTCCTTTTTATGAACACTTGATCTCCACTTATATCTGATCCGCACAATATCTCATCCCCAGCTTCCTGTTCTTCTAACACTCCTCCAGTTCAAAGACAGGCTGAAGCTGTAGCAGCTCTTTCTTTTTAAGCTAAACAGACTCTTTGCCACTTCCTCCAGGTGTTGCGAGTGAAGACCCTTCCTTTTTGTGAGTGCCTGTAAATTGATGATTCATGCTAGTCAGGTCTTCTGTTCTTGGATCATTTCGGTATGTAGACAGCAGGAGAAAACTAATGCTTTTACCAAGTAGAGCGTTGTTTTTTTTTGACCCAATACACCGTTAATACCCTTTGAGAGACATTAAAACCTGCTCCCGGGAGTTAGTTGTACTCTCCATGCCGCTATACTAAGCTTCCCTTTAAAGGCCAGAGTCTTAAGGGAAAACAGATTGTGCCTTTTGTTGTTTCTTCAGTAACAATAGCTATGGAATGAAGTCATCTTGTGCAAGGGTTATTTTGGTGTGGTGGTTAGTAACCAGAAGGTTGCTGGTTTGATCAACATAAACAGTGAGCTACCACCATTGTCCCAAAGACCTACGTTGCACCAAAGGGATTGTCCCTGTAATAAGCACATTCAGTAGTCGATGTTAAAGGCTTAGTTCACCCAAAAATGAAAATGCTGTCATTAATTACTCACCCTCATGTCGTTTCAAACCCGGAAGACCTTCGTTCATCTTCGGAACACAAATTAAGATATTTTTGATGGAATCTGAGAGCTCTCTGACCCTCCCATAGACAGCAATGATATTACCATGATCAATGCACAGAAACGTAGCAAGGACATCGGTAAAATAGTCCATGTGACACCAGGGGTTCAACCGTAATTTTACGAAGCTACGAGAATACTTTTTTTGTGCAAAGAAAACAATAATAACATTTATTAATCAATAATATAATTTATTCAGCAATTCTTTTCCCCGAGTCACCATCTTCCAGCATTTTGGAGAGTACCCCAGAACATAATCAACGTAATCAGCAGTGTTTACGTTCAGTAGACAGTGTGTGCATGCGCATAATAAACTGTTATTATTGTTTTCTTTGCGCACAAAAAGTATTCTCGTATACGTTTTGGATATCGTGGATAATATCCTTGCTGTCTATGGAGGGTCAGAGAGCTCTCAGATTCCATCAAAAATATATTCATTTGTGTTCCAAAGATAAACGAAGGTCTTATGGGTTTGGAACGACATGAGGGTGAGTAATTAATGACAGAATTTTCATTTTTGGATGAACTAACCCTTTAACTCAGCACACTCTCAAGGCAATTCGTAACTATTGTACGTTTTGATGAATTGATGACTAGTTTGCATGAATTTCAGCTGTCTCATTTGACCATTTTTGTATGATCTGCTTATACCCCACTGACGGTTAGTTTTAGGGGAGGACCTTCATGCTTACTCCTTTTCTAAAAAACAATACATTTCCAAACAAATTCATACGAAATGGCCACTTCGTTAAATAAGATGCATTTGATTATATTTAAGAAAGAAGCCACAATTTGAGAGAGATTTCTGTTCTTATTGCACCATCTTTGCCCCCTACAGCGGTGAAGTTTGGCCGGATGTCAAAGAAACAGCGGGACAGCCTCTATGCGGAAGTGCAGAAACACCGGCTCCAGCAGCAACAGCGGGACCACCAGCAGCAGCCCGGTGAGGCCGAACCCCTCACCCCAACCTACGGCCTCTCCACCAATGGCCTGACTGAGCTCCACGATGACCTGAGTGGCTACATGAACGGCCACACGCCCGACGGCACCAAGCCCGACTCAGGCGTCAGCAGCTTCTACCTTGACATCCAACCCTCACCCGACCAGTCCGGCCTGGACATCAATGGCATCAAGCCAGAGCCCATCTGCGACTTCACCCCGGGCTCGGGCTTCTTCCCCTACTGTTCCTTCACCAATGGGGAGACATCCCCCACCGTTTCCATGGCCGAGTTGGGTAAGTGATAATTCTGGAGAATGGCAAAGTGGATTCTGGGTAGGGGATGGTACTAGGGGGAAGAGCCCAACCGTGGGGCAAACGTTGCTAAAGGTGTCTTAAAATAGCATTAGGTTGGAGACTCATCTCAAAGACTCATTAAAAGAACCTCTTTTTTTCTAATTAGTTTCCATTAATTAGGGCCAATCAGGATCCAGCAGGGCACGCACCAAGGGAAATCATTTTTTTAGCTTCCCCTCCTGCTCTGGGACTCCTTTTAACAGATGTGTTTTCAACATGATTGAATTTTTATACTGGTTTTTTTTTTCTTTCTCTCGTCTCCATTTGCTCGTTCTTGCTGAAAGCAAATATGACCTTTGTTCCTGTGAATTTACACACACTCTTCACTTTTATACTTGAGGTACTGCCCTATTTTTCTCTTGCACAGGTACACAGACGGTCAACAAGCTTCTAAATCGACTTTAAATCACAAACCGCTACAATGTAGTTCTTTGATTGGAGAAGCAAATAAAACACTGCATCTTTTCAAAGATCCTTTCCCTTAGCATTTCTGTAAGCATAAATGAATCCGCCAGTAGGAAGAACCACTTTATAATGCTAATGGGAAACAAATGGCATCCCGTACCACATGTATGTGTGTGTATATATAGTACAGCTCAATATGTCTGTACGTTAAGTGCAGTCAGGCGCGACAGAGGTGTTTTGAAGGTATGTTGCGTTGTGTTTCAGAACATCTGGCCCAGAACATTTCCAAGTCCCACATGGAGACGTGTCAGTACCTGAGAGAAGAACTTCAGCAGATGACCTGGCAGGCATTCCTTCAGGAGGAGGTGGAGTGCTACCAGAGCAAGGTAAACACACATTGTTGAAGAGCCACATGTGGTTGTTCAGAAGCTTTAGTTAGGGATGTTTGCAATTTAATTTAATGTAAATGTTAACTTGCAGGGACACTGATGAGGTGATGTTTTTGGGATTGAAAATGTTCTGGCTGGTTGCATTAAGATGGACAGACATTTTAGTGGCGACTTTAGAGTACTGTGTTTTCTTAAAATATGCCAGTTTGAATAGGTTAGCCAATAATAAATGTATTAAATGTACAGTACCAAATCCCATTTATCTCTAAGGGTCAGTGAGAGAGTATAAAATGGTAATGTAAAACTGAATTATGACTGTTTTTGGTGCAAGAAGCCTTGACTAACATCATAAGTCTACATAAACTGCTTCAAAAGAATATGGCCGCTTTTTGAAACTGGTTGTGTCTTTTGTTTCTCCTCAGCCCAGAGAAGTCATGTGGCAGTTGTGTGCTATTAAAATCACAGAGGCCATTCAGTATGTGGTGGAGTTTGCCAAGCGCATCGACGGCTTCATGGAGCTCTGTCAGAATGATCAGATAGTGCTTCTCAAAGCAGGTAAAGTGTGTGTTCACATCACCATCATCCAATCCCAGCTTAGTTTATAGGGCGTAAACACAAATAATCCTTTTTCTGCAGTGCCTGTGGCTACGTTTAGAATAGCATATTACTAGCAGTATGTGTACTGTGCACAGTATGCATTGGCCAGTATTTCCAGTATACTATGGAAGTACTGTTCCACCAAGGGAATAAAAAATGTAATTGCAACTTTTTTCTTACAATTCTGACTTTTTTTCCCCTTATAATTCTGAGTTTATATCTCACAATTCAGACTTTGTTTCTCAGAAATGTGAGATAAAAACAGAACTGTGAGATATAAACTCGTAATTCTGAGAAAAAGTTAGAATTACAAGATATAAACTCTGCAATTCCGAATTTACAGTACGTCTCATCTTGCAGTTCTCTATTTTTTCTCTCTCTCTCTGAATTTTAAGTTCACGTTTTTTCTATAATGGAATAAAAATGAAGTATGAAGTATTTTTTCTCACAATTGTTTTTATCTCAGTTCATATCTGGCAATACTGATTTTTTTTTTTTTTCAGAATAGCAAGAAACAAGAATTGTAAGATATAAACTAAGAATTGCAAGAAAAACAGTCTGTATGGTGAGATAAAAAGATGCAGTTACCTTTTTATTTATTTATTTTTATTCGATGGCGGAAACAGGCTTCTATAGTATATGACTAGTTATCCTACAATGCAATACGTTCACCTTTGTCTCTCTTTTTTGGTGTGATGAATGAACTAAAGGTAATATTTTCCTGAAAAGCATTAAGACATTTTTACATTTAAACAGTTTAGAATACTACTCTTTGAAGTATTTATTATTGCATACTTCACACTTTTTACATACTGCTTAAAATAGTATACTGCACAGTAAGCAATATGCAAGTATTCAATTCCGAACACAGCCGATGTCACACAGCAGGAGGTGCCGTGCTTCAGTATCTCTTGTGTATACAGGAAAACTGTATCGGGACGATCTGTCAGCTCTTTGAAAAATAAGGCACTATTGAGATGATATCCACTGCTGCACACTATCTTCTCACAAATAATGGACCAAAGTGCTCCATCACACTCACACCCCATCTCCATCATGATCCCAACAGCTTTCAGTGTTTCTGTTTGTTCCAGGCCCGACCAAAATTAACAAAATACTGAGTGAGCACTCTCTCCTGACATGACATTTTAAACCACTGCATCTTTCTAAAGCTCCGTAATGGCTTCTATTACGTGGCTTTTATCCTCTAAGCCTGTGCTCACCAAAGCACTCCGCTGTAGAATTACTGCTCCCACTCACAACAATAACAGCAACACACTCCACCTGAGTCACACACACACAGCACTGCTCAAAAACATCAGATGATTGGTGACTTAATAAAGCTGTGTTTTATGATACTGCTCCTTGTTATGATATGAACACACTGCTTATGGCCAGAAACATACTTCAAGCAAGTATGCAAATACTGACCTTAAATAATAAACCTAGCATCAAATATTTGTACCATTATTCACGTAGCTATCTATAAACTTCGACGTCGGCACCGATAGCCATGTAGCGCCATTATGCTTCAGGGTGTCCCGAGGGCCGGCTTGCGAACCATTCCCGATCTTGTTCCCCCTCTCTCTCCCACTTTGCTTCCTGTCTAACTACTGTCCTAACAAAATAAAGATATAAAAACGGCAAAAATAACTATATTTAAAAATAAATAAATAAATATATATAT